GCAGCTGATGGGCCTCAATAGGAAATTGAAACTGGCTCACTCCTGAGTTGTTAATGAAACTTTTTAGTGGCACAATAGTTTACAATTACATTAAACCCTAAGTTATAAATATATGAGTTTAACCCTTTATACAGTTACCCCTACTCAATAAAGCTCTTAGTATTCTACAAATGTTTAAATCAAAGTTAACTCTAGCAGCCAGTTAGTTCAGTTTTAAGGTTTCTGTCAAAATAATTGTCCCAAATTTCTGCCTGAAACTGGAGATCATGATTAATTTGACAAGTATTTTTTAGAGAGACACACAATACAATTGTTATTATTTACCTGGATGACATACTTATATCCCCCAGTCTGTGACTTACTTTGTAATACTTTGAATTCCGTATATTTCTCATTTCCGTTTATCTTTACCTCCACTTCGCCCTTCACCTGTGTATGAATGAATTAAAACGTGAAATAATTCCAGACTGATATGCAAACCAAAGAGTTTGGGTAGATCATGAAGTAGATTGAAGCTCACCTGATCACAAATCTGCATCCTGTGGCTCACCCCACCCTCCTAGAACCATTGGTTCTTGTTCCATTGTCACTGTCCGTTGAAGTTAACAGAAAAATCAAGTCTGCTGTTCATCAAGTATGCATTTATGTATTTATACAGAGTTACACCCTTGGCACACCTGATAGGTGCACATTGTTGGGTGGAGCGTGTGTGTAAGCACAACCTTCATTGAGTTATAGAAACCTGAACATCAAAGAAGAAAAGCAACGACTCCCATAAATCTCCCTTTCCGTTGGTAAAAAAAGAAAAGATCTTCTCTTTTCCAAAATATAGCTTTGATTCCCTCCCTATAACATTGTTTATGAGATAAAAAAACTGTAAATGAAAAACAGTTAAGATGTACAGGTCAGGAAAGTATAAACAGGACTTCCGTGTGCTTCCTCGTTTGCAATTGCAATATATGGAACATTTGTACATGTCATGTTCGTGAACGCAAATTAAAAAAAGTTCTGGTTTGTATAATCACAGCAATTTGTTGAAATGCAAAAATATTTTGTATATTATGGTTTCTGAACTCCATCAGAAAATTCAAGTGCCTAAATGAACACATATAACATATAACTTATGTAACTGCCATTGTTTCTACAAACTGTGGACTTTTTGATGGGTTGCCCTTAAACCTGGTTCAGACAGTCATTGTCCCCAGAGGATGAACCCTGATGGCTTTGTTTCTTTCCTCTAGCGCCCCCAGGAGATTCATGGCTGCAATTTGACCCTCTTATAACGGCAACAATTAGGTCACAACATCAACGTAATGGAACAGCATAGCAATACTTTTTAAATAAAGCAAACCAGAAATTAGCACCATTATTGATTCCCACAAAGCAATTGAGCAGCTAGCTTGTAGCGTTAGCATGTTAGAAACATGTAGCATGGACCTACAGTTAACACAAACATGCTGCCAGGAGGATTCAAATAATGCTTGTAATGTATTAGCAGCCCCACCTAATCTATGATTTCTCTGCTTTCATGAGAGTTCAAATTCCACTGACTGCAACCTCGATTGTTAGAGAGCCGCACCTGTCCCGAGACAAACACCGCTGTACTAGCAAAGAAGAGTGCAAACACGATTTAAACAATTATTGCAAAATAATTGCGGTATCGAGGTAAATGTACATAAATATCTGCATCTTTATACATGTCGTCTGTGTGTTGCTGTGTTTATTTCATGAAACCTTGCAAGGTATTAGGAACCATTTTATAAAAGACGTTAGAACAGCTTAGGCTCCAGTGTGGTGCCCAAATCTCCACATTCAGATTCCCCAGATGAACTGATCTGAAGAAGAGTGGGGAGATGTGTTCTATGGAAAACAGAGTCCCAGAAAGAACAGTGAACTCTTAATGAAGGTCTCAAAATATGATTTCATTGTGATAATGAGAAATACTTGTTAGTGTCCCTAAAAGAGTAATATACATTAAAGCGTTGCAACATTTTACTCTATTTATTACTAAAATGTCTTTTTAATGTCTGTATATTTTTTAGTGTTGAGTTCTGCACCTTTTCGTGCGCAAAATAACAATAACTGAGCACATATTTGCAACATTTACAGTATAAAAACTAACTAAAACCGTTTTGGTTGTGCCAATTTCTTTTGTTATTTAAGTTTTTCATGACCACACAATAACTAGTTCCTGGTTCCAGCATCTTTCAATCCATGACAACCACATTTCAAAGATAAAGATCATTCCAATAGTTTACTGTAGCAAGGTGATATATATATTTTTTAGAAACAATGTCACTGTATAAAAAAACACGGCCATAGTTTCTTTTTATGCAATCATAACAGTTTGAATTAATCAAAGAGCCTGCCACGTCCACATTAGCACTACTTTCTGTGAAATCTGAGGAAATTAACATTTCCTTTTACAGTGAAAAGTGCTGGATAATTAAATAAATACAAAAAGTGAATTCATTTTGACAGTGGCAGTGCAGTGCTGCTCATTTATACTATGGACAGAAAGGACATCTGCACCTCTGCTGCCTTGCATTACATTTAAATCTGTTTCTATCAAGCCCCCCCAGCTTTAAAGGAGTGAAGCACAACACTGCTGCAGTGCTCCTTTAAAATGTGCTATAGCCTTCATCTTTGAAGAGTTCAAGAAAACATGAGGAATGATCCCACGAGTGTCCTTGTCTGATCAGTAACTGAGAGAGTCCGAGTTGATGCTGATACTTTACTGAATAAAAAACGTAAGAAAGAGATTTAAATGAAGTATTTTGTTTCTCATTTATAAAACAAGTAATAGCAGTAGTAATAGTAACTAGAGAATGCAATTCCTGAAGAAATTGCTAGTGGGAATGCTTTATGCTGAAATGTAATGTGTAAGAAGAAAGTGAAGAATTTAGATTGAAATGATACATGAATACTGGGGGCTTGAATGTGTGATGAGAGAAGAAAAGAAAGTAAAAAGGCTTGGAAAAGCAGCAGAATATTTTAACTGCAAACTTTTGAACTAACTTGATGGCGAATGATCTGTCGCCATGCCAACGGCATTTGATGACATCCCATAATACGCTTAGATGCGTTGATGGCTGCATCCTTTCCAAACCTGTGAAGTTTTGGGCCGTTTGGAGCATTTTCACTGAAGTTATGAGAAAACCGTGTTTCATGGCGAGTGGTGAACGTTTTGTTGAAGAACCGTAAAGCCCGCGTCACACTGTCCCGAAATTGACACCCGATGGACACACAAATATGGAATTGTGAATTTCGCACGAAGATGGCCCCGAACCACACACGAAGGCAACATTTACATTACATTTAAGACATACAACTGCAACGAAAGTAACAAAAACAATTATGTTAAAGTACTATGATACTGTACTGATATTTTCAGACTTTGTTCTTTACTTTATCCGTCTTTATATGTAGAAGATATTAAGTTTTCTCCGTAATGTTGTTTCCATAGCAACAACAACTTCCTGTCAACTCGCCTTCAAAATAATATATTATATCCTTTTCAGTTTCACAGAACACAAATTGGGTTATTTACATAATATGTTTACATGATTTTGTTGTGCAATAAAACAACCCGATGGACACACGATAAAGGAAATGTTCAAATTCGGCTCTGATCGTAACAACATCGAGCCATTCGTGAGGGCATCTTAAGCCATCGTATGACCGCTGGTGGAGTTTCTCTGGCTCCGGCAGCAACTTCGTGAGCGGTGGCAAAATCTTTGGCATGCCAAAAAATTGCAGAAGGACCTTGCGAAGGTTCATTTTCGTGTTGAATTTGTGTGTCAATTTTGCCCTTCGTAAGGCCATCGTGAGGGCATCTTGTTATCATCGGTGCCATCGGGCATTCGCCCCGATCAGAGTGAGGGCGAATGGCCCGATGGCACCGATGATAACACGAAGATGACACGATTTGACAAGATGTGCCTTACGAAGTTGCTGCTCACGAAGTTGCTGCCAGAGCCTGAGAAACTCCACCGGCGTCATACGATGGCTTAAGATGCCCTCAAGAATGGCCCGATGTTTTTTTCAAATACGATCAGAGCCGAATTTGAACATTTCCTTTATCGTGTGTCCATCGGGTGTCAATTTCGGGACAGTGTGACGCGGGCTTAACAGATATCGGTGAAATTTCAAAGCGTGAAGCATGTCAAGGAACTTGAGCATCTGAAGTGTACTTTTTGTGTACTTTCGGGTTAATAATGTATTCTTTGTGGCAGATTAACTAAAGGTGTGCGGCTGCTGTGGTGGGGATGGATGAGTCTGAACTTACAATGGGGTTTAATGGAGACATGTTGAAAGTTTTTGTCACTTCATGCCCTCAAGCTACGAGATGTTTTCCTACGTTTCTCATGAAAAATGATGTCTCAGGAATGTAGGGTTTGGGAATTATGGCAGGTTTAAAAGAAAATATGAAGGCAAAATTAAATCTGTCCTCCACTCTAGCTGTGACATCACGCACTCTAAAATCTGAAGAAGGCCTCTTTACCAAGGTCTGAACAATGTTTAATATCTCTAAAAGTACGAATCAGATTTAAAAGTTGTGTTACACGAATAATGTCAGAAAGATGTGTAACAGTTTAAAGTTGGAATGAGGTTTCTGAGTGAAAGTATGAAGGAGCAGTTAGCAGTTGAAGTTGCATGAAGATTGTTCAAGTCTGAAGAGTTTCTCCATTGACTTCCATGTTCAAAATTTGATGAATTATGGGATGTATCTCTGGAATTATGAAAGTTATGAATGAGAAAAGTAATAGCCATCGATTCCCAACCGAGCTGAACGTTTTGATGTTTGAACGGAGTTTCTGCGATGTGGAATGTGGGAGAAGAAGAGGTGCAAAATAACCTGGCGGAATAATAAAGAATTTTGTGCGTAGCATAACAGATAGTTGGAATGCTGTGTCAGCATTCCCACTAAATGAATTCCACAGTGTTGTAATGTGCAGCCTGTGTTTCTCTGACAGTTTGATCAGAACAGGGCTTAAAACTAGATTACTAAACATTGCTTTATTTCACATATACAAACAAACAACACTAATGAAATACAATAATACAAAAAAACGTTCATCTTTCATAGTTTCAGCAGCTGAAACTGAGCGAGTTTAAGGATTCAGGTGATTTACGGGACATCTGTCAGCATTTTCATTGATTGTTTAATTGTTGCTTCCTTTCTGTTTTTCTTTTATAATATACGTTAAATATTTGTTGACATAGTTAATTGTGGAATTTGAAATTCTTGGTATTTTATGGATTAAATATCTGACCAATTGATCAGAAACTGAATAAGCGATTATTCAGAATTTAAGATTTTGGGATTCAGTTGTGGCTCTTGCTAATCTTGAAACTTTGAACAGGGAAAAAAAACCATAAAATCACATCCAAAATTAAACAATGTTGATGCAAACAACTCATCCTGTGAACATCTTTGGAATACAAACTCCATTTTTGACATCAAATGTTTCATCACATCAGCGTTTAAAGAGGCACAAGGAAAACATAATTCAGTGTAAGGTCTGCAACAACAGTTATCGATGCAGGAGCAGAGTTACAGTAGCAGTGTTACAGTAGAGTTACAGTAGCAGTGTTACAGTAGCAGTGTTACAGTAGCAGAGTTACAGTAGCAGTGTTACAGTATAGTTACAGTAGCAGTGTTACAGTAGAGTTACAGTAGCAGTGTTACAGTAGCAGTGTTACAGGAGCAGAGTTACAGTAGCAGTGTTACAGTATAGTTACAGTAGCAGTGTTACAGTAGAGTTACAGTAGCAGTGTTACAGTAACAGTGTTACAGTAGCAGTGTTACAGTAACAGTGTTACAGTAGCAGTGTTACAGTAGCAGAGTTACAGTAACAGTGTTACAGTAACAGTGTTACAGTAGCAGAGTTACAGTAGCAGTGTTACAGTAGCAGTGTTACAGTAGCATGTGACAGTGATCAGTTACTCTTCAGGATCTGCACACTCAGTTTTGATTCTTCTCGTAGCAGTAAAATAAAAACAGTGCCCCTTTAATTTTGGTGTTCATTTACTTTGACTGTACATGTGCAAAAACTGGGCTGATTTTGTTAAAATCCCTAAATATTTAACAAGATGACAAATGATATCTTATTCTGAAGATGATAATATTTTGTCTTAAAAAAACACCAGTTTACTGAAGAAAAAGTTCCTGGAAGAACGTCTGAATAAGGTTCCTGAAAGCACCGTCAGGGTGGTGTAAGGACAATTCCAGAGTGATCGTGGCTTTTCTTATGTTACATTTATATCAGGGTGCTAATGTTGTCGAATCAGTCTGCAGTATTATAGCTAGTTTTATTAAATCCCTTCGGGTCTTCAGACACCCTCAGAGGCAAGTGAGAATACATTTTTCGGGTGACCCATTTTCTCTGATCTAAATCATTTCTTGTGAAGATGTGAAAAAAGTTGTGTTGAGCCACAGCGTGGGTTGCTGATGTTTCGGTGAGGTTAACATACAGTCAAGTGTTTATAGAACGAGGCACATTAAAGGAGTTTATTCTTCATGTGTAAAGTCTGCATAGTTGTTTACTCTTCCTTCATTAAAGCTCCTTCTCTTTATGGAGCCAAAAGTCAATCCTTCCCACCCTGCTACTTGCAATTGTCTGTGACATCACAGTGAAGTCACAGTGGTGGACCTGACTAAGTGGGCGGGGCCTGGAATCACAGCAGGTTGATAAGCAGAGGACCAGTGGGCGATGCTAGATGACGAGAACAGACACCCTCTCGACCAACCGCGGGCCTCTGCCAGCTCCTGTGGCAGGCTCTCAGCTAATCGCGTCAGCTGCTCCTCCCCCTGCCGGATGAGCTCGTCCAGGTGCCGCTGGCGAATCAGAAGGCATGGTTTGGTGCTGACGAAGCGCTGGTAGTCCTGGAGCTGCGGCTCAGTGAGGTAGCTGGACACGATGGTGTGGACCACTCGCTGCCGCCGGTCCAGGTTGTCCTTCAGCTCCCGGGCGTCTTCGGTCTGAGCGAGGAGCAGAGAGCGCTTGTGATGGAGGCAGTCCTGAACAGGAGGAGACAGCCAGATATACGTCAGCTGACACAACATCTTGTTATTACTCATATTTGATACTGTTCATGGCAACATGGATCTGCATTTCAAACAGCAGCAGTATCCTTCTCGGACCTGCAGTCCCTTTGGTCCTCTGGCATGATGGACTGGCACAGTGGAAATTCAGCCATGCTGCAGTTAAAAGCAGGTAAACTGTGCTTTTCCAACGGCAACATAGACTCTGATTAAGTTCAGTATCAGGGTCCTGGTATTGTGCATGCTTGCTCCAGTAGAGATCCCGTTTTTAAAAGGCTTCATTCCATAGTGCAATTCAGGACTGTGACTGCAATCCAGGCTAGCCATGATCAGAATCATTTCACACTCTTTTTTTATATAGATGAACATCATTAATAACCTTAATAACATGAGTTTTATATATGATACTAAATTAAGGACTCTATTGAATTGAAATAAATGGAAGCCGGGACTTAAATGATGCTGCACTTCCATCGTCATGGAGACATGCAGAAAATAAAGTTTCTCTTCAAGAATTTAAGGGGCGTAATTGATAAACAAATGGCCACTCTGTTGATGAAAGATTTCTTCAAAGTCACAGGAGACATTAAACCCAGCTCATGAGTCCTCTGCAGACACATGGATGGGAAGGTACACAGGCTCATGGCTAACAGAGTCACAGAGTCACAGAGTCACAGAGTCACAGAGTCACAGAGGAACAGAGTCACAGAGTCACTGAGTCACTGAGTCACAGAGTCACAGAGTCACTGAGTCACTGAGTCACTGAGTCACTGAGTCACTGAGTCACAGAGTCACAGAGTCACAGAGGAACAGAGTCACTGAGTCACTGAGTCACTGAGTCACAGAGTCACTGAGTCACAGAGTCACAGAGTCACAGAGGAACAGAGTCACTGAGTCACTGAGTCACTGAGTCACTGAGTCACAGAGTCACTGAGTCACTGAGTCACAGAGTCACAGAGTCACTGAGTCACTGAGTCACAGAGTCACAGAGTCACTGAGTCACAGAGTCACAGAGTCACAGAGTCACTGAGTCACAGAGTCACTGAGTCACAGAGTCACAGAGGAACAGAGTCACTGAGTCACTGAGTCACAGAGTCACAGAGTCACTGAGTCACTGAGTCACAGAGTCACAGAGTCACTGAGTCACAGAGTCACAGAGTCACTGAGTCACAGAGTCACAGAGGAACAGAGTCACTGAGTCACTGAGTCACAGAGTCACAGAGTCACTGAGTCACTGAGTCACAGAGTCACAGAGTCACTGAGTCACAGAGTCACAGAGGAACAGAGTCACTGAGTCACTGAGTCACAGAGTCACAGAGTCACTGAGTCACTGAGTCACTGAGTCACAGAGTCACAGAGTCACTGAGTCACAGAGTCACTGAGTCACTGAGTCACTGAGTCACAGAGTCACAGAGTCACTGAGTCACTGAGTCACAGAGTCACAGAGTCACTGAGTCACAGAGTCACAGAGGAACAGAGTCACTGAGTCACTGAGTCACTGAGTCACAGAGTCACAGAGTCACTGAGTCACTGAGTCACTGAGTCACAGAGTCACAGAGTCACTGAGTCACAGAGTCACAGAGGAACAGAGTCACTGAGTCACTGAGTCACTGAGTCACTGAGTAGCAGAGCGTCCTGTCCTGTCTCACCCTCTCGCTGGCCTTGTCCTCCTGCGTCTGCTCCTCTCTCTCCAGAGCCAGCAGAGCTCTGTGGATCCTGGACAGCCGGCTGCACAGAGACAGCAGCAGGTTGACCATCCTCTCCAGATCCCCTGGAACACAGGCAGCACAACTCACACTGTGATACACTGCAGCATGTTGACATATTTCTGGCTTCTTAAATTCATTCTGTTAGAGTGAGCGTCAGCCGCGTACCTATGAACATGCTGTACTTGTCCCTCTCGTTGGGTCTGAGGTGTCCCTGCAGCAGCGTCTCCACGCCGGCCCCCAGCTCCTGGTGCCCCCTCTGCTCCTCACTCAGCGCCTCCTTCTCCTGCCGCAGCGCCGCCAAGCTGCCCCGCAGAGCCTCACACAGCTCCAACTGCTCAGCAAATCATACAGTTAATAATAGTCTTTATAGTCTTTATTATAATCGTTAAAAGCTAATATGTATAATATTAATAATAAGAATATATTTTATAATCGTAACTATAATAGTCATATTTAATAGCTAATATTTATTATAGTAATAATAACAATAAGAAGAATATTAATAATACAAATAGTTTTTATAATCTTTATTATATTATATATGATTATGAAAGACTTTGTGAGCTATATCTATATAATTATAGATATAGCTCATATAATTATGATAATTATTATTCAGATGATGAAATGAGAGAAGCCTCAGACCTTCTTGGTGTTCAGGTCCTTCTCATGCTCATCCAGATCTGTCTCTTTCCCTGGAGCAGCCGCCGAGCTCTGTGCAGGATCACAGACGCCATCTTGGATCCTAGACATCATAAATGACAATTGTTGGGAAAATACTGAATGTACTCTTTCAAGGAGGTGCACATGATAACAAAGGCCCAAGTGTATAACAATGTATATGGCAGGATGTATGATTACCTAGAAGAGAAGCATGACACAGTTTTTTAGGCATATAAGGCTATGTGACAACGATTAACATGATGATCAGCCTCTATGGAGAAAGACATATGACAAGCGTGATCATTTCTGACGTGGGCTTTAGCTAATCTGAACTAAACATTGTATACTGCTTTATATTATGACTAAATAAACAACCTTGAACTATATTCCTCCATCTTGTGACTGTGTAACTCCCTCTCTTGTATATCAGCATGTGAAGGACACTGTTCAGGAACTAGTTGATGCTCTGTATGTGATGACTACTTCCATTCTTGAGAGGATCATAAATACATGAATCCTGTTTTGAAACTTAAGCCGGTGAGATTTTTCTTTTTCATCAGTTCACGATCAGGAATATAAATGAAACATTCACACAGAAAATAGTTTTGATAAATAAAACTCAGGCAAGTAGAAGAATATACAAAGGCAAAACACATGAGGGAATTACCTGTCCTCCAATCTGCCACTGCCTTGCCACAGTGAGTTACCAACCAATCTGCTGTTTGGAAAAGTCTCCTCCATAAGCTCTACGGTGGATTTACCCCCCCACGTGTCCAGGAGGGGCGCCAGAGAGCTGTCCTGCAACACCTGGAAACAAAGAAGTGAGAGTTATAATAAAGTGTCCAGCGGATAAATGCTGTAAAACCAATCCATAGGCGCAGTGTATCTGTAAATTATCTCAAATAAAATAAAATGTTTAAATACTAATGCTAAACCGGAAGAACTGAGACATCAGCACTTAAACCATGGATGTATAAAGGATTCAAATGGAAGTTTGAAAATGAGCGGGGATACATTAAGTGAATTTTACTACACAAAAGGAGTCAGAGGACACAAGATGACAAACGTTGAGTCATCATTTTGGACAACACAAATAAAGTTTGAGCCAAGTAAAACAGAGTCAGAAATAGATGTAGAAAAACAAAGGTATTATCAGAAGTAACTATGAGTGAAATCAGCTGTATAGAAGGTACAGCATCCTTTATCCAAACAAAGTGCTGACTGGAGGAACCCACCAGCTGCCGGGCCAGCGCCTCCACTCGCAGCTCGTCCCAGGTCTTCTCCCTCCTGGGCAGGTGCTGGTACTCCAGACTGAGGCTGTCCAAGGGTTGGGTGGATGTGGTGAAGGTTGAGGGCTGTGGCGTCAGGCTAGGAAGGAGGATGGGTTCAGACAGAGGAATTGAGAAGGAAGAAGGTGACAATGGAGGGGAGGGCAGGGAGTTGTTTAAGAACTCCATGCTTGGACTGAATAAAGGGACGAGAACAGAGAACAAGTTAATTAATTCAGTCAGTAAAAAAATAATCTAAAAGGTCCATAATCATTATATTTAGATTGAGGTTTAAAATCATTCTTCAACAAACCTCCCAACAGTCTGGTGTCCAGCTTCCTCCTCCAACTTCAGGGGAGGAGGAGGAGGGAAGTCCTCCAGGAGGCTTGTCTCTTTGATATGTGGTGATGGAGGGTCAGGATTTTGAAGGAACACCTCATCAAAGTCGTCCAGCGGTCGGCCTGGCGTAGACTCTACCGGCTGCGGCTGGTCGCTGGAGCTGAAGAGGCTGGACTCAGAGATCCGCAGGGAGGACAGGTGCTGGGGGATGGACGGATGGTAGGATGGGGGCGGAGACGATGGAGTGGTTCTGCTGTCCTTCCTGTTTGGTGGGGATGCCAGCTGGATATGGGGCAGGTGTGTTGGCATCACCGGTGAAACTTGTTTGCTGTTTTCTGCAGAACACCCTGCTATCATGTCTAAACTGGACGCTCTCTCTCTACACATGTCTCCCGCAGTGTCTTCTAATCCTCTGGAGTCACTGAAACTGTGTCTGGTCTGTCCCTCCGTCACCAGGGTCGTGTTGCTGAGTGTTCCGGGGAAGGTGATGGCGTCCAGGTTGGCCTGGCTCAGCCGCTCACTTGCATGCCACTCAGCGCTGCCACTGTCCAGAGCTCCAGGGGGGGAGAGGGGGGAGGGCAGGCCCACAGAGGCCGCCAAGGTGGAGGTGCTGCTGGCTCTCTGCCGCTCGCTGAGCCTCTGTCGCTCCCTACAAGTGACAGGAGTGTGGGAGGAGCCTGGGTCTTGGATCAGAACACAAGGAAGAGTCAGAGAGGAGTCACAGTGCTCTCACATATGTTCATGTGCTCAAGGTTCCAGATTCAAAGAAATCTCATGCGGTCGTGCCCTAAATTATATATTTTTGGGGGTCAATTCGAAGCGAGATTAAGAAAGTGTTTGGTATGGATTCATCTCAAAATCCATATTACTTTGCTCTGGGATTAGATTCAAATTATGAACGCAGACACAGGCACTTTATTGCTTTGTATGCTGCAGGCCTCACTATATTACAGAAATGGATGAAGATCTGCCTGATACCTTATCATGGTTTGAAAAACGGATGTCCATTTTTCTATTGGAGAGATGATCACATGTCTTAAGAGAAACTCTGGATGAGTTTGTTAGGAACTGGTCCCCATATAATAGCACTATACATGAGGGAGGAATGGTTCAGTGTTATAACTATGGGCATACATCTAACGGAATTAGTTTTCACACATGAGTACCGCACGAGTTACTGTTCTTTTTCTCATTTCTTTCTATCCCGGTCTGGTCTGGTCTGTTGTGTGGGTTTTATTATGTGTTGTTGTTTTGTCCTAAATGTTTTAGTATTGTATCACTTTGTAACTGCTGAAAATAATAACATATATATATTTTTTTAAATGACAGTTTGACCCCAAACTAGAAGAACATCAAAATGTGAGAGACATCTCTGTGTGCTCAGACATTTGTCTTCTCAGTTTAAATGCAGTTAACAGAATGTTTTGAATCACCTTGTGAAGGTCCTGCAGGCTGGACGGAGTTCAGACTGGTTCTGGAGCCTCGCAGAGAGAAGAGTCCATCTGATAGTTGGACCACTGCAGGTCTGAAAGACAGACACATTAAGAGAGAATTAAATAAATGGGGGAACATGATGAAGGTAATATGTTTAGTTTTGTTGTTGCTGTGTCAGAGAATTACATTTGACTTCATTTAACAATCGAATATGGTTTAGAAAAAGACAAAACAAAAAGAACATCGAGAGCATCGTACACAATTCAAAACAAACCATACCGGAGACAGATATTTGAGAAAAACGAATAAATGCTAATGATATTGTTATAATATGTCCGGGTCACATTCCTTCCTGCTTGTAAGCTTCATCTGTACAGACTCAGGCGTGTGCTTGGTTCTGTGCAGCGCGCTCAGATTGGCTGTAATGACCCGCACAGTCTGTGGGGGGCGCTGACAGGTTGGAAAGGAATACATCTAAAGTTTTAGAAGTGTTGTGTATTAGAATTGTCACTTTCTTATTTCTTCAGCCCAGAGATCATTCACATTCCTGAAGTGACCTTTGACCTTCACATTTATAGGGGGAACATATTTGAGAGTTTCAAGTGAATTATGTCACTGGACTTGTTTATTTTTCTTTCTCCGTGTCAGGGAGTTTTCTCTGCTTCTTTAGATTCCTCAGTTCCTCCCTTCTTCACTCCTCTCACTCACTCTGCCCTTTAGAACCTCACTCCTCTTAAATCTTTCTTCCCTTCTTTCTTTCTGGTCATCTGACTCCTTGATTTCTTTGTCTCCTTATTCACCTTCCTCCTCCATCTCCCCGTGTGCCTCCTTTCCAAGGACCTTTCCTTCTTGTTTCCCCCATTTCTCCTTCCTTTTCACCTCATGCACTTCCCTTCATTACCTTCCTTGATTTGCTCTTTACCTCCTTCACATCTACCTTTTTACTCTGTCCCTTCTTCCCTTCATCTATCCTCCCCAAAATATGTTCTCTTATCTTATGTTTAATCTTCTCTGTTAATCTCTTTCTCTACCTCTACTTCCTCATCTCATTCTTTGCCTTTTCTGTGTGTGTTGTTGTAACACGCTTTTCTGTCACAAGAGGCTGGAGTGGACCACAGCCACACATTCTAAATAGAACTAAATACATTTGGGTTTTCTTCGCAGTATATTTTAATATCTCTATTAAGAGAGATACATGAGGTACATGATGGCCATGATGAGGGTTACAAAAGCAAACACTTAGAAAAATGATCCTGAGAATATACATTCCTAGCTTTTTTAAACCCACTTGTTTTCATATGACTTCATAGAATGAGTTTTGGATCAGCAGAAATAAAGATCATGACTGCCCAACATTTACTGAACTGAGAAACATGATAAATGAGATGACAGGGAGGGGCAGGTGAGGGATTAGAACCATCAGCTGTTTGTATACGATCACATGACCAGAGTGTGGATGGGACCTACCTGTCCTCAGCCAGAGAGGGGCGTCCAGGTTCAGGATAACAGACCCCCAACATCCTGCCGTCACCTGCAGGGTCCTGCAACACGCACACACACACACACACACACACACACACACACACACACACACACACACACACACACACACACACACACACACACACACACACACACACACACACACACACACACACACACACACACACACACACACACACACACACACACACACACACACACACACACACACACACACACACACACACACAGTGAGTCATTACTATTGTAAACCCCCCAGAATCAGTAAGGTTTGATCTTATCCTATTGCATTTTAAAAACCATGTGCAATCTTTGTCTTGTTCTCATCTTAATTTGAATACTTCAATAACTTAAGAGCATTGTTATACTGTTATAGTCATCATGAGAGTAGTTTAGTGCAGACATAAATCAAGAAAAGCATCTGTAATGTCTCCATTCTTTCCCCTCACCTTTATGGTATAATAACAATGGGCTTTTGATAAGGTTTTTTTTATGGTTGTAATAAATATAAAAATAACTTCAACAGGTTGTGGTTGTTGGCTGGGCACTTTCTAGAGTCTGTGCTAAAACGTGAGCTCGATTGCAACAGGAGAGTTAAGCAGGAGAAAGAGGGGGACAATGAGCAGCAGAGGTCTGTGGCTTGAATTGAACAATAATGATTGCATTCAGACGGGATGTGTCTTAACCACTAGGTCCCCGGGTGCCCTGATATTCATTTGTTCCTGGAACTTTATTGTTTACCTTTGTTTAATTGTATAGTTAATAGTACCAAATTATTGTTTTTAATTATGTGTTTTTTTTAAATATAAACCTTACGCACCTGCTGCTCTAAACAAGTTTTTGCTTCTGTGTCTCTTACGGATTGGAAAACAAAATCCCGGTAGTGGCCCCTGCGATCCCTGAGGGACCACAGACCTCATCACACACTAAACTGGAGTCTGATGCTCCTGAGTCAGAGCTGTCAGTAGCTTCAGTGCTCAAACCAAAACCACTGGTGTCAAGTAACTAAGTACATTTACTCAAGTACAATTTTGAGATACTAGAACTTTTTGAGACTTTGTACTTCTACTCCACTACAGTTCAGAGGTAAATGGTGTACTTTTCCTCCACTACATGTATTTAACACCTTTAGTTACTTTACAGATCTGGATGAATGATGTGAAATATAATCAAGTGTTAAATCAGACTTTAGTTCCACCTGGAGTAAATCCACAAGCTACCCTGCAGTATACAAAGTCATTCAAACTAGCTGCACCTTTCCAGCTTTGAGAACACTTTCATGATCAATCATTATAAAACATATCATATATATTATTCTGAAATGGACCAATCTGCACAATCACTACTTTGATAATATTTTGATGATAATACTTTTGTACTTTTATTTGAGTAATATTTTGAATGCAGGACTTATACTTGTAACAGAGTATTCCTACACTTCTGCTTTGACTTTAGTACAATAAAGTTGCTTCCTACATTGAGTATTTAAAATTTTAAAATTGGGCATACATATGTGTGTGTGGTAAAACATACACCAAAGCAGTGAGTTGTAGGGTTAGTATACAGCCTCCAAAATGGTCCTTGCTGGTGTGTTCAAAGACTTCTTAATTAAAAACATCAGAGCCTTAGGCTGCAGTGAGATGTATTGTTTAAGGCCCTGTCTACACGGAGACGAAACGGAGACGAAAACGAAAATGAACCGAATTCGATGTCAAAAAAGTATTCCGTCCACACGGAATCGGCTCAATAAACGTGTCCGTCCACACGAGACCGCTCGACACGCTGGAGACGCTGTAGTACATATGCCGGGCCTGTAAGTGGCGCTGTACTTCCGCACAAAATACACCAAAAGCAGCGAATAAGACCTCCCGAGCATGGTTGCCATGGTTGCCTGGTTGCCCTTCTGTTTATGCCCCGCGGTGGATTTAGCAACATGTAGTTCATGTAGTTCTCCATGTCCACTTGTTGCTGATGGTTGTGGTAGAGGAGCTGTAGATTTTGCACTAACATCTGTAGCATGGTCAGTAATCAAATCAAATCAAATCAAGTTTTATTTATATAGCACATTTTTAAACGATTTTTGGTCGAGCCAAAGTGCTGTACATATAATAAAATACCCTACAGTAAAGACACTTTACAGCAAATACAACAGCACAGTTTGTTCAGAATATCAGTATGAGAAAACGACACCCTCTGTCCTTAGACCCTCACATCGTACAAGGAAACACTTCCAGAGAAAAACCCACATTTCAAAGGGAAAAATGGGAGAAACCTCGAGGAGAGCAACAGAGGAGGGATCCCTCTCCCAGGACGGACAGACGTGCAATAGATGCCGTTTGTAAATCGAAGAGATAGCGTCTGGAGCACGAAAGCAACCCTGTGATCCGCCATTGTTGTTGCTGTTGGCGAAACACATCAGCAATGACGCGGGTGACGCAGGGGTGAGCAGCAGAGGTGGGGAGAGGCGGGCTATGGCGTCATCATTATCAGGAAATGATCGTATAGGGCGTACACACACACCGCAGATCTACCCACCTTGGGAGCCGTTATCGTTATCCACGTTTCCGTGTCGGCCTCGTGTGGATGAACTATATGTTTCTATGATCTATACGATAGAGAACTGTAGCGGATACAACCCGTTTCATCTCCGTGTGGACGGGGTCTAAAGTTAGAGGACAGAGTGTCTGTTTGTCTGACTGAAGTGTAATGATGTTTATGTGGCACAGCATGCTCTGATCACTGAAGCAGATTGAAGAGCAATTCATCCTTTTACTGCATTCTTTAAGAACTCTGTAGACGTGTGTATGATGAAGTTATGTGTGTTATCTTTGCAGTCATCCACATCGGACAGCGCCCAGCCACCGGCTCTCTGGCACCTCACAGGAAACTTTGAAGACTCTGGGTATTTCCTGTGTGCCTCTGCGCCTAATGTCCCTTAATGGCAACATGTCATGAATGAACTGGATATACCATGAGGGCCGGGAATGTCTACATCCATTCTTTACTCCATTTGAGTAGGATATTGCATTTTGGACCAATAGGTGGCCAACAACTGGTACACCTTTATTGTGTCCTTATTAAACATTATACTCTTTTCTGAAGCAATATGTACAGTTTGTTTTTTATTAACTATGCCAAGAAGTTGACTAGATTTTCCTCTTGCTTTGTGTGTCTGTTTGTCTGTTAGCAGGAGTGAGGAAAAACTGCTGGCCCGACTTCAGGACATTCAGTTGAACGATGGAACGAGGATGAATACATTAAATTATGGATCTTAATCATTGGGGGTTAACACAATTATGTTTCACTTTAGTTTATATTGCGCGATATAGAATTTGTGCTGCATGTGATGTTGGAAATATCAGAACAATTATTTAGGGGCTGCTTTTTTTGCTGATATAGGCAGGTTCTTGTGTATGTAATTTAGCATTTTAACCCGCACTTACATTGTATGGAATTTGAAATGTCCTTCCTAGGGGTCCCTGCTCTTGTAACGGCAGAAGGAAATGGGAAAGTAGACATGTTGACTAAGTAATCCCTATAAGAACTTTATCGGACATACAGATACCAAACAGAGGATAAAACTATCATACATAACTATAAACGCCTTATTGAGCGAAAATACTGGAATCTAAGTGACAATTTAGCCCGAGAGAAGAGAACAGGAAGCACAGGGTTAAATCAAACAGGCACCCCACTGGACTATGCACACATTGTAATAAATCACATATTGTCAAACATGTACTAAGAGACATTCACAAGTAGGCCCTATGACAAAGAAAGAAGATCATTATTGCCAGGATTATTTGGTGAAAATCTCAGTGTTACATTGGGGAATTCTCCAGGAAACACATTAGAGAAGGTTCCTATTTCTCCACGCGCTAGTTGCAGTAAGGCACTTGGTAATGCAAACGCTGACTAACCTCAAAAAGGTGTCGGCCAGTTTGAACTTGTCCTTTCTAAAGCATTCATCAAACCTGATTTATACACTTTTAAAAGGGCTTTGAGTTTATTGAGGCCATAACATTTTCATGTGTGCACAGACTCACTTCTAAACCCATTGAAGCAGCCACACAGGCACATCTCTATCAGGCACTGCACTTGAACTCCCGAGTAACCGTCTGCACCAACAACCAGCCAACACTTAATACTGGCATTATCAAAACTACCAGAGGCTGAAGAAGTACTCAGATCTTGTACTTGAGTAAAAGTAGAAGTACCAGAGTGTAGGAATACTCTGTTACAGTAAAAGTCCTGCATTCAAAATGTTGCTCAAGTAAAGTAGAAAATAATTATCATGAAAATATAGTGAAAGTAGCGACAGTAAAAGTAGTCATTGTGCAGATTGGTCCATTTCAGAATAATATATACGATATGTTTTATAATGATTGATCATGAAAGTGTTATCAAAGCTGGTAAAGGTGCAGCTAGTTTGAATGACTTTGTATACTGCAGGGTAGCTTGTGAATTTACTCCAGGTGGAACTAAAGTCTGATTTAACACTTGATTAGATTTCACATCATTCATCCAGATCTGGAAAGTAACTCTTGTTGAACACTCATCAACAAATCATTTCATATTATGATTATTTTATTTCTCGGTTATATTATAATAGGGCAAATATTTTTCCTGCTAACTTGCAACTCGCAACAACGATAGTGATCATTTGAAATGGATTATGAGTAGGCGTGCAGTGTTACCTGATGGAGTCTCTGGGCTGTAGGGGAGGAGCGTGAGCGGCAGTGTTGAGGAGTCATCTGTCTTTCCTCAGACCTCTCCAGGAGGTCCTCAGTGGAGGCTGACCTCCCCGAGCCTCGAGCGGAGCCGGCCCTCTGCAGAGCCCCGTTCAGCTGCTCGGACAGGCCCAGGTGGAGGGGGTGCTCTGAGGCAGACTGCTGCACGTCTTTGCTGCTGGAGGTCTGTCTCCTGAGCCCTGCTTCAGGAGGGACATCCTGGAGGAGCCCGTCCTGGAGGAACCCGTGCTGGAGCTCAGGGAGGGAGTCAGAAGAAGCACTGGGAGAAGAAACCAGGAACTTTGTCATATATTCATTCATTCATTGACATTATATGAATCCATTTAAGTCTACCAGACTAGAACATTTTTAATTTCTAACTCATAATGTGTGTATATGTCTACATATCTGTATGAGTATGTACAGTATGTGTGTGTATATATATATATATACAGGGGTGCACATAACTTTCTTAGTGAGTTACTCAAATGAGTACCAGGAGACAATGTTTGGTACTCAGGGCTGCCCACGCAAGGTTATGTGTTCAGCCCCTCTGTTTCGCGAACGTCGACAGGGCTGGGGTGGGTATTGAACGTCGACGGGAGGGGTGGGGGTGGGCGCTAGTGGAGCACTCGCGTGGAACTCGTGCCAGAAGTTGTGGCACAATTCCGTTGTACACACCGACGTTAACAGCAGCCCCGTCTGTGCGCACGGCGACTGGCTCTGTCGTCCAGTGATCGAAGCGCCTTCTGGAAATGCTTCACAAGTCCGCCGGTACGCAAATGCGCTTAGTGAGACAAGTGACGGTACGCATTTCAGATGTTTGCCGCACATGCGTACCTGTGTACCAGTTATGTGCACCCCTGTATATATATATATATATTTAAGAGGGTGTTCAGGTGTGTGTGTAAGTATGTATATATACATATATGTATATATTGTTATATATCCTTATTCTTGGGGACAGTGAAAATAGCACTTTGGTCTCCCTGTTTGTATCACACACACAGAGAAATTGAAAATAAAGTGACTTGGACTTTGAAGGAGTTGATCAATTGTAATAATACTGTACAAGTTTAACAACAGAAGTTTAGTTTGTCACTGAATTATTGAACACTTTGAACTGCTGGAGGTCTGAAGTCGTTCATAGCAGTCCATGTTGTTGAGATACTGTATTTTAGTCTGGACCACAGGGATAGCCCTCCACCTGAAAGGCCAAAACAAACAAGCCTCATTGCTGGCATGGTAAAAGATTGATGTTAGATGCAGCTGGTATGGTTTATATTACCCAGTAGATGAGTGCGATGCTGGCCTTGGAGTGGTCACCCTGCCTGGGTAGAAGAGGTTGGACTGGAGGCTCCACAGGTCCTCTCCAGGAGGGAGGGCGGAGCAGGAGGAGAAGCTTCGATCTGCAACAGAGTCCTGGAGGGAGAGCAGGCTGGAGGTGGGGGAGAGACTGCGGGTGTCTGATTGACAGTAGGACGCTGTAGAGATGGAGGGAAAGAGAGGAAGAAGATAAGAAGGGAAAAACAATCAAGAACACAAAGGTTGGTCTATCAATTCAATATTTACTTCATCTACCATCTATCCTTAATCCATCCACCACACCTAAATCCTCATTCTACTTCCCTTCGTACCCCAACCCACCTGTATGGTTGCTGGTTTCAGGCTGTAGATAAGCACTCCGGGGCCTCAGTCCACTCCTCTGTCCTCCCTTGTCTCTTTTCACGCTTCTCTTCCTCTCCATGTAATCAGCCAGAGCGTCGTGCTGAAGCTGTCGCAAGTCGGGCCTTGAAGTGGCATTTTGCAGAGGCCCGCCCCCGACTCGATTTGCCTCCAGCTCAAACATCCTCCGACGGTCTGCCACGCTGGTATCTGACGACAGAAGATCAGAGCGCATGTTCAGTCACATGCGGACACTAAATGATATATCTGTTACATATAATGTACGTTATATAGATGTTATACTGTATATATATATATAAATATATATCTATATATATATATATATATATATATATTTATATATATATATATTTATATATATATATAAATATATATCTATATATATATATATATATATATATCTATATATATATAGATATATATATCTATATACATATATATATATATATATATTTATAAACAGCATATAGGTTCTCCTTAGGGCTGGGCTCAGTCTTTGCTAAACTTAGTATTCAATAACGTTTCCAGAAGTAAACCTTTATTAGGTACAATATTAAATTATGTTAATATTTGTTTTTGTCCAATATGAAATAAAAAGCCAATCTTATTAAATGCATTGATGCTGAACTTTGTCAACACATAGCAGCCATACAATAACACTTTATACATAAGATAACAAATACATCTGAATCTGAAAACTAAGCTGTGGGTATAGAGCTATTGCTGCAGCTAGGTTACCACTGATGTCAACTCTTAGCAAGCCTAATTTAGCAGAATGACTATATCATTTCTGGAAACCAAATGCTTGACTCATCCAGTTATTACTTTTTAACCAACGTTTAGCTAGTTTGTGCAAAAACCTAGCTACGTTTCTGACAATGCAACAGGTAACTATATGCCTCTCTAAACCAAGCCCCTAGAGTGTTGTCAACACCATGAGGCATGTCGAGCAATAGTGACTTTTAAATCTGCTTCACTTACCTCCTCCACGCCTGAAGAGGGCAGCAGTCTCAGCATCTGAAACCCCGACCTCATTCATGTTCTCTGGCTCAGAGTATGATCGCTTCTTTTGGTCTAAATTCAGACGTTTGCGGCCGCAGATTCTCGTCAGACCAGGAGGACCAACTGGTGGGACATTGGGGAGGGCAGGGGGGCTCGGGCCTCTAGTTTCCGGGTTGACCACATGCCGCTCCTTTGGAGTGTGAAGGGAAGTGACCAGGGGGAGCAGCTGTGGTGCCATGACGACACCCTGTGGTTTGGGCATGGTTTTTGGACCTTTCTTTTCCAGCGAGTGGTTCTTGGCAGAGACATGTTGAGTCTGATCGGTGATAGAGGAGGAGACGGGAGGAGGAGCTGTGGGAGGGGGAGTTGGAGGAGGTGTAGGGCTGATTGAAGAGCGCAGGTCTCTCCTTCTGAAGGAGGTGGAACCCAGGACCTTAGACTGGGCATCTTTCAAAGAGTCCCTGTAAGATCTGATAGAGACAAGTTTCCTGTGTGAGACTTATGATACTGATTAGAAGAATCTGACCTGTAGGAGGACCCTGACCTGTTGTAAGACCCTGACCTGTTGAAGGACTCTGAGCAGTTAAAGGACTCTGACCTGTAGGAGGACCCTGACCTGTTGAAGGACTCTGATCAGTTAAAGGACTCTGACTTGTAGGAGGACCCTGACCTGTTGTAAGACCCTGACCTGTTGAAGGACTCTGAGCAGTTAAAGGACTCTGACCTGTAGGAGGACCCTGACCTGTTGTAAGACCCTGATCTGTTGAAGGACTCTGAGCAGTTAAAGGACTCTGACCTGTAGGAGGACCCTGACCTGTTGAAGGACTCTGAGCAGTTAAAGGACTCTGACTTGTAGGAGGACCCTGACCTGTTGTAAGACCCTGACCTGTTGAAGGACTCTGAGCAGTTAAAGGACTCTGACCTGTAGGAGGACCCTGACCTATTGTAAGACCCTGATCTGTTGAAGGACTCTGAGCAGTTAAAGGACTCTGACCTGTAGGAGGACCCTGACCTGTTGAAGGACTCTGAGCAGTTAAAGGACTCTGACTTGTAGGAGGACCCTGACCTGTTGTAAGACCCTGACCTGTTGAAGGACTCTGAGCAGTTAAAGGACTCTGACCTGTAGGAGGACTCTGACCTGTTGAAGGACTCTGAGACGTTAAAGGACCCTGACCTGTAGGAGGACTCTTACTTTTTTGGTGATGCTAACTAAAGGACTCTGATCTGTGTAAGACTGACCTGTTGAAGGACGTGTCCCCCATGGGGCCCAGTATGTCCTGCATGCAGGGGAATTCTTTACTGCTGTCGACCTCTCTGGATTCAACAAGCTGGAAGGTGCTGCGGCTCCTCTGGAGGGCTGAACTGGGATCTGCTGGGGTCCTACATGGTAGGGTGGGAACTTGTCATAAATGATTACTAATATTTATTGTGATAAATTATAGTAACTATATCTATATAGTTGTATCAATTACCTGTATTTTGGGTGTTCACTGCTGCCTCCTCTGTAGCTCAGAGTCCGGTGGGCTTTAGTCCTGCTGTTGCTTCTCTCCAGCATATTTCTGAGGTCATCTGGTCCACATGGGGAGTTACGACCCTTCTCAGTCATCTAATTCAAAATCATAAAAAATCAAGCAGTGAAACAGTGTCACAGCCAACAAGGGTCAAGAACTTCCAATTTGAGAGAAGTTACGCTGAATTGGTGACCAAATCACAGCTTGGTTTGAGTTACCCTCAGATGTGAGGCTTTGTCCTGTGCGGTGGTGGTGCTGTGACTGCGCTGCTTCCCGGTGCGTTCCCGACGCTCAAAGCGACTGACCTTCTCCAGGACAGAGAGGCTGCGTACAGGTCCCTGGCTGCCATCGCCAACGCTGCTGTTGCCATGGCTACCTGCAGAGATGACACTGTTGGGGCTAGAGCCTCGCTGGACCTCAGCAAGGGCGATCTCCAGACGGGTCAGTGGGTGTTCTCTGTCTTTGTCCTCCTCTTGGTGGTCCCAGTCACTGAGGTAACTGGGAAAAGGGGGGGGGCAGGAGAGGGGAGCAGGTGTGTGGGTAGGAAGAACCTGTCCCTGTGCGAGCCTAGGTGATGTCACTGGCTCTGAAAGAGTACTGGTCTGGTCCATTGATCTGTAGGGCGATAGGAAGAAACCATTGAGGAAAAGTACTGGAGGGAAAATCATTTCTGATATTTATTGATTTTGCCTGATACATACAAAACATACAAGCATTGAATGAGCTAAACAGCCATTAACCGTCAGGTAGCTGCTGTTATAGATAGAAATGTGTTGAAAATAGGGTATGCTATTGTGTTGTTGTGGCTGTATCTGGTTGTGGTGCCGAGTAGCATGATGTTAGTGCATGAGTTTAATGACAACAAAAAAAAAGCCTCTCCAATGTCATCCTCTCCAATGGTTAAAAGATTACAATCCTTGAGCATGCTTTTGGTTTTCTGCAAAGATATCTCAATCTGGAAGCCTCCTATGGACCACGTTGAAGTACTCTAACTAGAATTCTGACCTAAAGAAGGTGGCAGATCAATGAAGGACTCTGGTTTCAGTCACCAAAAGTAATTCCCCAATACTTTACCTTCTCCTGTCTCCCCTCGACTGGACAGGTATGCAGGGGTCCCTCCATTCTTCTGAGGATGGGGCCCTGTGTCCAGCGGCCGATTGGATGTGGGGAATATTGAAATCCTGGCTCTCTTCCTGGAACACTAAGCTGTGGGGTCTCTTGCTTGTTTGAATTTGGGACCCTTGGAAGCTTTGACCATGAGGTCCCTGGCGGGTTGTGTGTTCCTCTGATGGATCTCTAGCTGTTTTCATGTAGGGTCTGTAGAGTTCAGAGTAAGACTCTTCCTGGTAAGGCCTGATAAAGGTAGAAGACTGAGTTAGTATTATAGAATAGAATATTATAGAATCGGAAACACCAACAAATAGCATGAAGTTGTGCATTTAGCAATTATTTTATTTAAGTATGACTCTTGGGAACGAACTACACACTAAGCTACACAACTGCTACAGCTACTGGTAGGAAGTAATGACACTAAGTATAGTATTACCTGTCTGCCTGTTGTGCTCGAGGCCTGGGCTGAGTGAAGGGAGCTGTTGAAGAAGAGGGATAGGAGTACAGTAAAGAAGAAGGGTTGTTTTGGTATCCGTTTTCTGTAGCTGATATCCTTCTTTCCTCCCGTCCCTCGGTTGTTCCTTCCTCTCTCCCCTCGATGCCCTGCTGCTGCTGGGTGGGAGCAGGGTAGCCTCCCAAGGAGCCTGGCCCCTGGATAGGACCGGGTATCTTTGCATTGAGGGGCTGATGTTGGGGGACAGGGTGTATCCCTGTGGGCACAATGAGCTGGGGGCCGGGGCCTGCAGGTCCAGAGGTAGGGCCAGGACAGGAGGGGGGGCTGGGAAAGCCTCCGCCCAGCCGGGGCTTTATGGTGGGGCTGCTCTCCGGACTCTTCTCTATCACGGTGTGGAGCTGGCCCTCGGCCCCGTACGAGCATTTAGCTGCAACCAGAGGAACCGAGTCAGTGTTGTTGGGGGTCATTCAGGGGAAGAAGATAGCAGAGCTCTGTATTTGGGGCTTTTTAGCAACCTTTAATTGCTAGAGCAGATTAAAAAAGTGTACAATCATGGAGATAGAATTGATATATACCTGCACTTGATGCTACAGGGCCACTGGAGTGATGCCAGGAACCTTTCTGCAGAGACCTGAATAAAATATATAAAACACAATTCATTATAGTGGAAGTTCATTTTACACAAGTATTTTACAACAACAATTTATACTAACTGTTTTATATCATATTGTACCTTACAGGGCAATTCTATAATGTATTGTGTTATACTGGATCGTAGAGAATGGTAACATAGCGTAGCATATTGCATTGTGTTGTATTGATTTGATCCAAATGTATTTAATCATAGCATTTTATTGCAGATTCTATCTATTGTATAGTTTTATAGGATAGCAGCATATTGTTGCGAGATGTTTCTTATCGTATCATGATATCCTAATTGTATCATAGTGTAATGTGTTAATATCATTGTATCATATATTGCATTTTTACTGTACTGTAGCATAATAGGCTATGTAATGTATCTTAGAATATTTCATAATGTATTAAATTGTACAAGTAATTACAATGTCATTTACAAAGGTTGTTGTTTGTTTAACTAGTACTTTACAAACACCTGTATTTTTTACTCTACTACTTAAAGGGGACCTATCATGCAAAATGCACTTTTGTACGTCTTTTATACATGAATATGTGTCCCCGGTGTTCCAGGGAACTCACCAAGTGTCAGAAAACACAACCCTCTCTATTTTCCTCCATCTCCAAATCTCTAAAAACGGGGCTGCAACGGAGCTGAGAGAGATTTGAATTTCTCTGACGTCAGAAAAGGGGTGCTCCGCCTATATGGGCAACTCTCCACCTATCAGGGGGATGAGAGGTTGGGCCACGGCCACGGCCATTGCCCAACCTCTCATTCGCATATAGGCTGTCGGAAAGCTAAATCTCCTCCAGTCACATCTGTGTTTTTGCCTGCTCTTGCCAGGATGTCTAAGGGAGTTAAACGTTGTGCTGTTGTTGGCTGTAAGAATCGGGATAAGGGACTGCATGCAATGCCATCCCTGGAAAAAGACAAGAATCTATGGCTAGACTTCATTTTCAAGGGACATGTGCCAGAAGACTCCGGCAGATTTCTGCTTGTGTGTTCTAAACATTTTACCACGGACATGTTTATGAAGTAGATTTTTTTTCGCCGGTCAACATGTCCGTTAAAGTTTAAATCTTCTGGACAAAATTAGAAAAGTGCCGGTCAAAGGTCTTCTTTGTTATTTATTGAGCTTTAAAACAAATGAATAATGACTCTATATAATAATATAAGAATAATACACGGAGGACGGACTCTCTCTTTTCCTCCCCCTCTTCTGAGAGCCCAGCAGCTGATCTCAGAGCACGCTCCCCTCTCCTGCAGGGGGGCGTGGTCAGCTGCAGCTCATTTGCATTAAAGCTACGTCACAGAATCAGCCCTTGCAAAAACAGGGCTGGAAAAGAGCAAATAGAGCGAAATGAGGCATGGCTAAAATGCATGATCTGTTTGGTATTTTGAAAAAAAAAACTTCACAGACATGTTTTATGGCCCTACAATATATTTTTCAAATATAGCATGATAGGTCCACTTTAACTTATATCACCTGGTCAATAAAAAAAGATATATAAAAACCGCCACATTCTTAGCCCATCAGCTATGATGCACATCATTTATTAATACAAGAATAAAATAATGAGTTGATTTTACTGTAAATGAATTAATACCTATTTAACTTAAGAGACAGTGTAGCCCAGTTTCATATCTGCAGGTCTGGAAGCTTAAATGGATCTAAAACTCATTTTGGAACGTGAATGACTGAAGTTAGGGCGGACATTGTGCTCTTGAATTAAATGCTCATCACCATTGTTTTTATTAGAGTTTTGTTGGATGAGAATGGATATCCCCCTGATGTGACTGACCGTAGTGAGCGGGCGTGATCCAGACTGGACCAGGAGTTGGGTCTCTCGTGGTTCCTGATGGCTGCGTAGCTATCGCTGCGCATCGGTGGAGCTGGCGCCCCCTTCAGGTTCTCGTATGAGCTGCGGCTGGCTGAGGGGCCCCATATTGGCCCCACACTGTGTCTTTGTGATGCCGGTACACCCCCACTGCTGCTGCCACTGCTGCTGCTGCCACTGCTGCTGCCACGGTAACAGACCCCACCTAATGCACCAAGAACACAAAGAGAAGCAATGATGTAATCAGATAAGAATTAGAACATCCCAAAACTATTCCTGAAACAGGAAGTTCACCTTGTAGCTCTCGGCTGTGCCCCGGCCTCGCTTCTCCCTCGCCTCTGGATTCTCTGTTGCTTAGCAATGCGGCGGAGGTGGAGCTCAGCTGGTGTTCGTGGCCCCTCTGGACGTCATACACCGTCTGGGCGTAGCACACGTCCGCCTGCTGCATGTCTCCACCTCTTCTCTCTCTCTGAAGGACCGTCTCGAGAGAATATGAGCGCTCCGGGCTGAAGGAAGGCGTGGAGGCCAGGTACTCTGGGATGCTGGAGCTGGTGGAGAAGGAGGAGTAGGCGGAGTCTCGCTTGCTGTGCAGGTGGTCGATGCTGTTGGAGGACCTGGAACATGACGAGAGATTCCATTTAAAGTCATGACATTGAGATATCTACAGCTCTGAAGCAAATGGCTGGTGAAGCTGGACTTTGTATTTTCAGAAGGAGAACACAAAGCAACCGGTTAATTATACAAAAGCTTAATGCATCGTACTAAATAAAGCTCCCATGGTCCTTTCATTCTTTCCTGTAGTGTCTAAGGGGTGAATTGGGGAAAATGGGTTGAATAATAATGAATAAATAATTGAATAATAAGTAGTCTCTGTGATGTCATATGTTTCTGTATGGTTGTTGCTTTATGTTTTAAGGCTTAATGTGGGCGGTTCTCAAAGTTGCCATCTTGGCGTGGGGTATGTCAGTGGAGCAGCGATGACCCCCAATCATGCCCCAACATAAAACCTTTAAATAAGTATGACTGGTGATAGCTTCAACACCAACTTTAGTTACAAGAACAATGTCCCCTTAAATAATAACGTTCCTATACAGAAAAGAACATTATCAATTAAAGGGAAAGTGTTTCCTCCCAGATTATGTTGGGTTTCACCGTCCCGCATATACATTTTAATCACAGTTTGCAGAAGTCTATGTTATAAAGAAGACAGGATGGATGGATAAAACAACAATGGATTTTCACCCATGATACCAGTATTTAAGTGTGAAAAAGCAGTCAACGTTCACTTATTCTAATTTACGCCTGTAACTAAAATAAGGGGGGGGGGTGAAGGTACCTGGCAGAGGAAAGCTGGTGGCAGGAGGAGTAGGCGGGGTGGGGTCCGCTGTTTGTGTGGTGGTTCTGAGCTCCGGGGTTAAGGTGAGTGGACTGGGGGGGGTCCAGGCTGTCCATGCTGCCCCTCGAGCTGTACTGGTCCGGACTCTTCCTCAGGGAGCTGCCGCCGGAGTCGTAGCCCCCGGACAGGTCTGTGGTGGAGGCACTGACACAGAGACACAACATTTACTCTTTCAGAAGGAGACTCAGGAAAGCTCTGGCAATGGGAATGTTGCTAAATTACCACACAGACTTAAAGGTCTCCTATTATACTATTTGTAGGCATATATTATAGGTCTCAGATATATAAAAATGTATAAAAAACATGTCTATGAAGTGTTTTGCTCAAAATACCAAACAGATCACTCATTATAGCCATGCCTCATAGCCATATGATAGAGATCTCAGCCCTGATAGAGAACTGCAGGTTCGGGGTCCTTAGCTTTAAAAGAAAAAAGAGGGGGAGGGGGAGCTTGTGCCTGCTCAGAATTCGTCAGAAACTCAGCTAAATGCTGCCGTGATGAAACGCCATACCATGTTCAAAACCACATCAAGGATTACCTCTGAAACAGTATGGAGCTCAAACACTTTTTCTCTTTCAGGTTTACCACAAGGTGAGTTCCTTTTTAAATCCTGCACATACTCTCTCCAGTACAGGTTAGCTCTGAGTGTTAGCCATGCCTGCTAATGTAAACAAAGACTATATTACTTCCAAAACACGTCGTGCATTGTTTCTGATACAGCAACGTTTCTGATAGGGCCGTGGGTGTAAAGCCAGCCCACATTTTAGTAATGTCGTCATGACCGCAGCAAATCTGGATCAGCTCCGTTGTAGCCCAGTTTTTTAAGATTTGGGTACGGAGGAAAAGAGAGAGGGTTGTATTTTCTGACACAAAGGGGACACATATTTATGTATAAAAGACATAAAAAAGTGCATTTTGCATGATAAGAGACCTTTAAACTTAAACACAACTGTGCTTTGTGCTTTGAGCTCACTAAGGCCGTAACATGCTGATATTTAGCAGGTAAAAACTCCTATATTCACATAGCTCAGTTTGGCATGTTAATTACATTTTACATTCACATTAACATTTATCATCAGCGTTAGGCTGATGGGCATGTCAACACTTTTGCATATTATGGTATATATTTTTTGATAATCATCTCAATGTTAATGATAATCTGTACTGCTTTGGTAATAAAGGTTTCTGAACTGTCATCCAATAAAGCTTATTTAAAATGTAGAGTGAATTGAAATACTATTTGCTCAGAAAATACTATTAAACAGTTTTGCTTATGTTTAATTTCCTAATCCATGCAATGAATGAAATCAAGAGGGGGTCCTGCTGCAGTGTTTAGTTTAATGTGTAAATATTCATATGTACATATTCATACAGACAGGTAACAGGTTGGAACAGGGTCAGATTGGCGTCGTAAGAATTTCAATTAAATAAAAGAAAAAAGAAATTAGGAATATTTAGACATGATACTAACAAGATAAATTATGTAACCACTTGCATGTTTCAAAAGGACGAAAAGTCTGTGATTTGCTGCTGAATCTGCCGGAATTTTAATGTGTGTGTGTGTGTGTGTGTGTGTGTGTGTGTGTGTGTGTGTGTGTGTGTGTGTGTGTGTGTGTGTGTGTGTGTGTGTGTGTGTGTGTGTGTGTGTGTGTGGTGTGTGCCTGTGTGCATGTGTGTACGTCACAGTTTGACCCACCAAGTCCTTCAACCGAACACACAATGCAATTACTGGAAAGGGGACAGTCTCCGTCTTCACCAGTTTCTCTGTGTCTCCACTCTGTACTCTCTGTCTCTCTTTCTACTTTCTGTTTCCTAACTTCTGTTAAAGTAGAGCTGCAGAAAGGTCACCACAAACCTTTTATTAAAATCGCCACTTTACTAACATGACACGACATTCAACAGTGTGTGTGTGGGGAGATGTTGTCATGGGAGACCGGGAGTTGGGGGGGAAGGGCATGCCCCTTACTGCAGGCATCCACGTCAATGCCCTATCCAACAAAGACACACACACACACACACACACACACACACACACACACACACACACACACACACACACACACACACACACACACACACACACACACACACACACACACACACACACACACACACACACACACACACACACACCTCATAGGCTTTTATTTTCTCTTCACTGCTGTTTAAAATAAATAGTGATGTAATTCCTTCTGAAGCTGCTCTGCTTCACACACAACACTAAATAATGATATTTTTTAACCAACAGTAAGATGACGTCAAAGAACATTTTCTAGAAATTGTAAAAACCTTCCAAAAATGTCCTCTCTCCCCAGGAAGTTCCTTACTTTCTGAAACAGTCCTCTCTTTCCCAAAAATATCCTCACTTTCCAAAAAAAGGCCTTTTTCCAAAAAGGCCCTCTCATTCTGAAAATGTTCTTTTCCCAAAGAAGTTCAATCACATATTGTAAGGTGTAATGTAAAATCTTGTGGTCAGTGTTGGTACAAACAGATATTTTCACTTCAGAATGAAAACACAGCGTGTGCACAGACAGTCAGATGTCAAAGGTCACGTCATATCACAGACAGACAGCACCTGTGAGCTCCTCACATTGATCCGTCTGTTGACCTATGTCGCCTCAAAACATTTCAAATGGAAACACTGTGCATGTTCAGTAAAATACTAAATCATCTGGTGTGTGTAAGAGTAACCGTGATTGGCTGAGACACTGGCAAAGTCTTTAAATTCACACTGTGTTTGTGAGATCACAGTTAAACCGTGCAGTCAAGAACTTTTTTTCCTGCGAGCGACAGTAAAAACACATGGAGCACCATGGAAACTGTACCAACAAGTTAAAAAAACACGTGCAGAGATCATTCATAGGACTTTGAGCTAGGAGCTGAGATATAAGGTATAATGTGACGTGAATGTGAAAGACCATAAGCTCAAACTGTTCTTGGGGGAAAAGATCTGGGTTGCGTGGTTTTCATATTCACATCAGTGTCATTTAACGTACATTGTAGGTATAGCATATGTTGTTCTTAAAATGTGTCTTTGTTATTGAATTTAAGCAGTTTTTTGTATATTGATCTTGTGTTTTATATACAATTGTGATTTTTTTACATTATTTAGGTGGAAGCTTTAAATAATCCCAATGGGTTTTTTGCCTCTTCCTGCACTATTTATCATTTGTTATCTGTTATGTATGTGTATTTTTAAATGGTGCAAAACCATTAAATACAAAATAAAAAAGAATACAAAAGGCTGCTGTCTCTATTTTGGCACTGATTTTGACAGATTTACCTCTGGTAGCAACATAGCTACACAGCTAGCAAAGAGCTCTACCAAGGGCCCTAACGATGGATATGCATTGTCAGAGTGGTCTGTTCTAGAAATGTAGACGGACCTGGCGTGGTAGTTGTGGTGCCAGGCGCTGCTCATGGTGTCCATCCCGCCCCGGTCCACCTGCTGCGGACCCTCCCCCAGCTTTGTGGAGTGCCAGGAGTGAGGCCGAGACGCTGGCTCACTGCGTCTGTGAGAGGAAACACAGAGAGAGGGTTTGTGTACACGCACTCCTTTACTTCCAGTCCACATTCTGACGTAAAACTCAAGGAAAGTGTATGATACAGCTAGCGGGGACGAAAACCATCACACAGTCAGCCATGATGTAAACAGCTCTGTGTCATTTTCTGTTCCACCATCGGCACATGACACGAGAGAAAAGGTGAAAAAAGTACTAAATGAAAGAAAACAACAGAAGAGGAGAAATGCAAAAGAGCCATTTTCTAAAGGAATCGTGATTTTTTGGGAAGTACACATTTATTTTTATTTTTGTCAAGATTGATTAACAAATCATCCCACCCCCATATCTGTACATCTGTAGCTGAGCCAGCTGCCAGCGTTGATCATTATGTTTCAACAAAATAAGAAAACGCTGGATTTAATGGAAAAAAGACATCAGGCCAAGAAAAAAGAAGCACATCCGTTTGTCTCTGGAAAGACGAGTTGATGAGCACAGAGCTGCGACTCATGCACAGTCATGGTTTCTATTTTGATCTAGTTTGTGTCCTTTCCTTCTTGCACAGGTCCTCATTCAAAGAAAGTCTTTTTTTTTTTAAAGCTCCGCCCAGAAAAAAGACAATTTCAACATTAAAAATGTTGTCTTCACGCACGCACGCACACTTGACACTAGGGCTGTGCGATTATGGCAAAAATCATAATCACGATTATTTTGGTCAATAATTGATATCACGATTATTAAATAGGATTATTCATTGACCTTGAAAACATCCATTTATTGAACTTTTAAATACAAATAATAATTTGAACAGTATCTTTTTAACTGTTGATTTCCCTGAACGTATAATTCAACTGAAAAACCAATACAAAAATAAATAAATGATACATTTATATCTACATTTAAATAAATAATATCAAAATAATAAATACCAATAAACAAGATCAACAAATATTTTGGAGCGCACTTCAACAAGCTACTAAACATATATAAATATGATAAATACAAATACATTAGATCAAATATGTTGCAGTGCACTGTCACAACCTAGCAAAACAAAATAATCGTTTTTTTCTATTATGTTGTTTTCGTAATTGTGGCAGGCCAAAATCGTAATTGCGATTAAAATACGATTAATTGCACAGTCCTACTTGACACACTGTTTTCTGTAAATCCAGACTCAATATGTCCTGAATTTTGTCTTGATAAATTATGTATAATGCCAGTTCACAGAGAAACATTCCTATCATCCATGTCATATTCTCCATTCTGTTCGTTTCAGTTCCTCTTTTTCTTCAGTAAATGTTTTGCCATTGTTAAGCTACTGTCACTGAAACTCAACACTGCAAATAGTTCACATTGACAGCTCTCATGTGGCTCAAAGGGCAACATGACTGCTTCTCTGATTGACGTTTAATGTAAATTGGGTGTTTGAGAAGAGTTGAATTTACCTTGATGATAATCCAAAGAGAAATACAATATTTGACCTCTGTAACAGTAATGTAATGTCAAAATGTGAAGTGAAAAGTACTGTATGTGAATGCCGCACATTGTGAAAAATATAAAGCAGCGGCCTCGCTGGCGCTGATATTCATTAAATTGGTACATTTTTGTGTTTAGTTCAAATAAGAATATTTATGACCTCACCATCATTATTTGAATGTGTTGTGATAAGAGAGACGTTGAATTGCATGGTGGTTCCCTCGTCTGATGTGAAATGTTCTGTATTTATCCACACAGATAAACAGGAAGAGATTGTATCTGAGTAAGTAGGAGACAGAGACATGAAAGCCTGCATGTCTGCGGACAGCAGGAACCTGGGTACAGCCGGACGTGACTGGAATACCTCGACAAGTTATCATGGCTGTGACACGTGTGCAGATATTCACCCTCTCTGGGGACTGGCCTGAAGACAGTGTGGTAACATTTGAGTTTTACCACAGAGTTTTAAATCAAAATATCATTTTTGAAACCTGGACGTCACTGACATGTCCTGACGCTGCATTCACAAGCAACCAGGGTCCAAAACATAGATATCCTTTCGGAGTCCTTATGTCATGTCTGAGTAATGAATGTCACATCCTGTCATAAATGTTTTGGCATATCAAAGTTAAAAATGTAGTTTGTTGTCCTAAATACATATATCTTTCCAGTTATAATAAACCCCCGGTTTACTTTACATGTCTTCCATTAACTGACCCCCCACCCAAACTGTGTCTAGCCACACTCTGCTTTAGATCCTTTCTGTTTTAAAGATTGTAAAAAACCAGAAGAGGGTCAGGTAGTTGTTTTAGTTTGTGCTACAATATAAGTCCAGAATATTCAGTGTGCAAATTTGTCAAAATGAAAAGGTTAGGACTAAAGTCAGACTCCATTTCTCCAGCAACCATTATAATTAGTTTGATCCAAGCCAACAGTTATGGATTGAGTTACAAAGAGATCCTCAAACAGTTTTCTTTCTTGCACAAATACTAAAGCATAATGCACCAGTCTATTGTTAACTTACTTCTGAGTATTTATTATGTAAAATCTCTTTCTGCAAAACTTTTCTTGAACAGATCAAAGCTAATCCAGGCTTCCAACTTGTCTAAATGTCTTCTGTGTTTCTGACTAAACTCAGCATGTGCCCTGTGTTACCTGGAGGTGAACCGCAAGACCCTGGAGATGAGGCCGGTGGCCAGGACGCTGACGTTGGCCTCTGACGGGGATCGGCAGAGCGCCCCGTCAGACCGGCCCAGCTCTGCTTTCTTCTGCTTTTTCCGGAGCTTCCTGCGGTAGAACGCCTCCAGCAGTTCCATGGCTACAATTCAAATGACTCTTCTCTCCTGCTTTCTTCTTAGCTGTACTCTTCCTGTCAAATTGGTTCGTCTTCTTTTAGAAAATCCCAGAAAGTCCCATTTCCACACCCTTGAAGTGGGACTGTTTGTTTGATGTTTCCTTCTAGAAAGCTACAAGAAAATATATGTTGTCTATGTCAACTGCACCAACCCAACAGCTAACATGATCTCCTGTGTAGAAGAGTACTTCCAAAAACGTCTTGTTCTCTCATGAAATTAGAATACTTGGATGCATAGCCCACTACACAACTTGGACCTTTATTTTCTTTTTTGCGATATCTTTTCTTACCTTTGTGCTGTACTTTTCCTCTTTTAAACTTTAACCTAAGATACCCTACCTGCTTCTTCTCTGCTTTAACTCAATCAACTGTATATGTAATACACACAAACACCTCTCTCCTTGTTAAATGTGTCCCACATGCTGCAGTCCACTGTCAGTCAATCCTTTGAAAAATGTGCAACCCAGACAAGAAGAATTGCCTTTTTACTGGATGTTCTATCTTCAGCTATTCCTCATGTCCATCAAAACTCCATTGCAGAGACTCTGCACTGCTGATCCGTCTCCACTGTACTCTGATCTGTCTTGTTGCTGTCGCTCCAGTCTAGGGCTGCCTGGTCAAGTCGCATTGCATTGGTCCCTGAGCTCGTTAAGCAAACGGAGCAATTAGAAGTCATTAGGCTGTATGATAAAAGCATAAAGTAAACATCCTTGGACTGGCTTGTTCTGGATGGTAGCTGTTGATACAGTGTGTGAGCGAGGGACATTCAGAGTCTGAAGAGAGAGAGAGGGAGGACGGCTACAAGATAGTGAGAAAGAAGGAGTAGCAAGAAAGGGAGGGGAGATGGAGGGAGATAAGAGTTGTTAGGGAGAAGATACTGTGGAATGAAGCAACTGAAAGATTTTCAGAGACATCATGCGGAAATAGGGAGAGAGGTAAAGGAATGGGAAGAGAGGGAAGACAGGAGGACGAGAGAAATGGAAATCCACAATATCTTCTTTCCTGTCTAACAGTCTAAAAATAAAAATAAAACAGAGAATAACTTGAGGAAGTGCAAGTGCAAAGAGAGATAGTTTGTGAACACAGAGGACAGCTGAGCAGAGCCGCGGGGGGGAACATGTCCCATGATGCAGCGTGTGCTCCACACTGAACAATGAACTGACTCTTATTGATTGTTAGATTATCACTGCAAGACTGGAGTCCAAAACACAAAAACAAACATGATGTCAGAAGATAGGAATCACTGACCAGTAGTGGGGAAATGCAGCAAATGACTGTCTTTGTTAATGGTTCCTTAATTTGAAAAGTGATTATTTGGAAGGATATTTCCCTTCAATCCAACTTGACAACTATCAGATGGATGGCCAGGACATTTGCTACAGACACACTAGAAAGTCAATGCTAGTGACTTTGATGATACTCAAGCTTTCCTCTGGCGGCATCAGGTCAAAGTTTCAATACGTCCAATATAACGAATGACATTCCCATCATCCTTAGTTGACTTGTATGTGCTAACTAGCTAATGCTAGTAAGTTGACAAGCTTAAAAGAGCTGTAGCTAGCATGTAGCTCAGAGCATCGCCTAGTTCTGCTTGCCTGTTATGGAATCTTCATTTTGTTTCAATATTAAAAACGAGCTGAAACCGGTAACCTTTAAAAACTAAAATGACTAAATGTTTTCTGTCCTCGTGGTGAAACAGTCCCTACTCAAAGACCTCTGGTAACTTCTCAAGGATCTCTGGAAATCACTCTCGACTCCACTTTCCTTAAGGAATATTTTCATCTCTTCCACAACCCACTGAAGGACTCGATGCTTCCTCGAGAACATCTTTCATTCACAAACGGTAAAGGAGTCTGTGAGGACAACTATGATTTATTCTAGGACTACTGAACCTTCCTGGGGAGATCTCAAGGTCCCTGGAATCAACGCAAAAACCCTAAGCTTTCTCGAAGACCAGTGCATTTTCTCGTAATGTCTTTGGACCTCTGTTACAACATCTGGTAGCCTTTTAAGGAACCCAGCATCTCTCCTGGGACCACTAAAGCCTCCTCAAAGACAGGTGGACCACCAGGACCCCTTTGAGTAGGACTAAAGCTGAGACTGCATATATCAGTCAATACTCATGCGTGTCTGTTCCAAACTAATATCAGTTCATCTGTTCTCATGTTTTTGGTTGTGA